ACACTGTCTGGCGCGGGCCTTGATAGACGAGGCGACGACCGATCTCGTATGTATTCTTAAATTTTGGCATATTCATGGCATTGTGGTGCTGGGGTGTCTGTGGATTACCTACCTCCCCGGGCAGCAGCTAGAAATGCCCTGTACCAGTTCTAAAGGAAATATGGATGGTGTTTTTGGCTTTCCCTTTAAGACATAGCTAAGGTGGGGCTCACAGTGTGCTCATTCCCCGCCACCAGATTGCCTGCAGGTTTCGCTGAGCTCTTCATGGCTCTAAGCATGGCCTAAACATGAGTAGTTGGGGCAACTGGATCGTCACGCCCTGAGTCCCTGTGCCTTCATGATAGTTTCCGGTATTCAAGGGGGTTAGCATACTTGTTTCCATTCCTAAGACTGTTCAGCACACCTCTGGCTCCTTCCCTCCCACAGGGGGCAGTACGGTGTGGTGCACCGGGTTTATTATCGAGGTTTGCTCCTCTAGATCCATTGTGTTTTGCCTGGGGATTCGCACCCCCAGTTACCAGGACTACCTCGTTGAGGCTGTGACTCTTCGCCACGCACAATGGTCTTGAGGTAAGAGAGGTTTTGCTAGGTCAAGAGGCTGACACCACAATGGACGCTCCTTTCGTGAACAGATATTCACTAGACCTAGGGTGAAGTAAGGGGGGAACCCACTACCCACAACACCAACACTTCTTACCCCCTGCCTCTCGAGGCTCAGTCCCCACAACTTGGTGGAAAACTGCTACATGATAGGTCAGACGTTTTTAGCGCCTTGTGGGAGAGCGTGTATAGTTTAGAGGAACAGATGGATCACCACAGTCTAGTGAGGTTGATGCAGCGGGGAGTGACGAGAGGTTCTGGCAGATGCTCGAGGCTCAGAGGAAAGGCAAGACAGACGTTTAATCAGAAAGCTACTGGCACCATTAGTATCGGAACTCTTCGCTGGCTGCTGAAGATGGGGACAGAGCGCTTATGGGAATGCCCTGAGTGCTGTGATGTCGGTTCTTGAATCAAATCAAATCACTATGGAGGCCCTCTCTAATTATACTATAACCCCTGAAAGTTTTCTGCGTACATCTGTGTCATACAAAATTTCGGAAATAAAATTTCAATATCATTTTCAGAGATCTCAAGCTGGACAACATCATGTTAGACAAAGATGGGCATATCAAAATAGCTGACTTCGGCATGTGCAAGGAGAATATTTTTGGTGAAAACCGAGCAAATACTTTCTGTGGCACTCCAGACTACATTGCACCAGAAGTATGTGCCTTTATGCTTTTGTTTTATCCATTTCGTGCTCTGTCTTGAGTGAATCTTATTGTAGTAGTAGTACAAATATTGAGCGGCGTCCGTGGCTAAGGCGTTGCGAGTCCGACTCGTAAGCCAGCATACCGCGATCGAAATCCACTGCAGGCTGCGTGGATTTGTGTCGTGGTATGGGACGTCGCAGGTCGACCCAGCCTAAAATGGGTACCAGGATGGGCTGTCCTGAGAAAGTAAAGACAGCCGGCGTAATGCTGACCACATTACCCATCGAGTGCTGATGGTCTGTAAAAATATGGGACGCTCTGCCCATATGCCCGATGCGCCGAAAGGCGTGAAAAGGGATCTTTACTTTTTTTTTTTTTTTTTACTTAGTACAAATATTAGCGCACAAATTTCGGCCAAGAGAAACACCGGTGCAAGCCACACTTTACGGGTCACTGAGTGAATTACAAAAGACAGTGAATTTCTTGCTATAAACAACATCGCAGATAGGTAGATAATCTATTTCAAGCGAAGGAAAGAAGAAGTAGCAGTAACAGATTTTTTTTTTTTCTCAAGTAAAAGACCGTTCACAGATCTTTTGTAAGAAGCAACAAATTCCAGAAATTGGTAATATTTGAACACTCAACAACAACAGTATAAAAAAAGATGTTCAACAGTTTATGAAGGATTTGAAGAAATGAAACATTCCAGATCAAACAGACAATGTTCTTTAGCTGTGTGATCAGAAGAGAGGCTTTTGAAGAACATCTTGAAGATCATTGGTATTACTACTTTTCGTCCTTCTTAGGACGTTATTTTTTTGTTATTTGAAGCCCCACTCTGGCATTTGCCAGGGGCCGCAATATAGGCAGGTCATCATTATGGCCAAATGTCTGAACGCGGTTTCTGGGACCTCTCCACAGTGATCCTCATCCGCATGGTGGCACTTTGTGTCATCGGGTGTTTATCGCTTGTGTGATGTCCTGGTGGGGTAAAAAATCCAATCCAATCCAATCTTGAAGATGGAAAAGATCAGCAGTATAAAGAATGTTGAATAAAGAATTGACATCACAGCACTTGAAACACTCACATAAGCACTCTGTCCCCATCTCCAGCAGCAAACAAAATGTTCCAATTATGATGGCACCAGTAATTGTCTGATTGTATATCCATCTCACCTTTCCCCTGAGTGTTGAGAGTCGACCAGATCTCCTGGTAACTCCTCACAGTGCCATTCTCCTTAGACGGTAAGGATCTATTTGTGCCTCCTCACTGAGAGTAAGGTATGGTTGCAGTCTTTCCAGGTTCATTCTTTGACATCCTTGTTTTTCTTCTTCCTTTTCAATGGCCATAAACACCAGCAGAAAGTTCTGGTTGTTCGTCCACTTCTGAACTGCAGTCCTGTTCCAGACCCTGAGTGTTGCTCATGCATCCGTCTGACGGATCTAATTTGTATGCATACTGTTAGTTCTTTGCCTATCAGGCTGATGCACTCCAACTTCGAAGGAAGCTCCCAGATAGTGGACTCTTACGACATGCTTTTGGGTAGGCAGTGAATTTATTCTTGTTTTCCCTATAATAGGGCCCCGGAACCCACACGGGGAGTTTGGCATCCAAAATACAGAACTGTTTTATTTTTTCCAGATTCTGAAAGGAATGAAATACAACTCATCAGTTGATTGGTGGTCATTTGGAGTCTTGGTTTATGAGATGCTAATTGGACAGTCTCCATTCCACGGCGATGACGAGGATGATCTTTTCCATTCCATTCTTCATGATACTCCACGATACCCTCATGCAACTCCCAAAGAAGCGTCAACAATGATGAGTTTGGTATGGTTGCCAGTTAATAATATGCATTCTCTTTGTACTATCTTCTTCTTCTCCTCCTCCTCCTTCTCACCTTCTTTATGTTCACTGACTGTAAACTGTGGCAGAAAAGTTCTGGTTGTTTGTCCACTTCTGAACTTTGGTCTTGTTCGAGAACTTGAGTTTTGCATTTACATCGGTTTACAGATCTGATGTATGTATTTTTGTATGTAGACTGTTGGTGCCTTGCCTCTCAGGCAGACACTTCTTCTTCTTCTTCTTGTTCACCGGCTGTGAATTCCGGCGGTTGTTTGTCCAAAATGGACTTTTGGCTTTTACCTTGACCTGAGTTTTGCGTGTACATCCATTTTACTGGCTTATTTGTTCGCAGTTCTCGTTCCCCGCCTCTCTGGCAGATGTACTCCGACTTCGGTGGAAGGCAGTCACTGACTTTGAAGGATATACCCAAAATTAGTAAACTTTTACAATATGTGTGTTGGCGGGGGGAGGGGGGCAGAGCCAAAATGGGGCCCTGGAACCCACAAAAGGACTCTTTGTACTATAAGATTCAGACAATATTTTCCTCCTGTTGGCTGTAGTAAATAGCCAACATTCTCTGCCATATTGGAACATATATAATTATATAAGGAACTTCATTAGAAATAAAAGACTGAAAGGATCAGAGAACCATGATGGTGGATGTGTGCTCAGACCTGGCACATGAATGAGATAAAGAGCTAACAGAAAAGGAAGATGATGGAAAGATCAATTTGATGATCTTGAGACGTTGTTTTTTGTTTGTGTTGTATGATCATAATTGTAAACCAGTATATATGTACAGTGTTTAAACAACATGCAATGAAATTTTCTTTTCCAGCTCTTTGAGCGTAACCCAGCAGAAAGACTAGGAATGCCGACATGCCCGGCTGGTCCTATAAATTTACATCCCTTCTTCCGCAGCATTGACTGGGAAAAACTTGAAGCTAGACAGATAGCTCCCCCTTTCAAACCAAAGATCGTAAGTTCACCTGTTGTATGTGAATGTTGTGATGTGGGGGAGGGGAGGGTGCGGGCAACATATGGACTCTACAGTACTGTTGAGGCTTTGTGCTAAAGAGACCATTTTGAGTATCTAGGATCAACAGTTAATAACAGACTATCACTGGACCAAGAAATCAAAACCAGGATAGGTAAGGCAGCCACAGCAGTGAACAGGTTTTTTAAAAAAAACAAAAAACCTAAAAGATCAGAAAGCACTTGGTTAAAACAAAACCTCGTCTATCAGGGTTGTGTTCCCAGCACTTTTCTTTATAGCAGGGAAACTTGGTCACCTTATTTGCACCAGGAGAAATGGACAATTAGCTTTCACATGCTGTGCCTAAGAAGGACTTCTTCCTCTTCTTAGGTGCCTTGTCCACGCCTTTAGGCGTATAGGGCAAAAAGGGCTAGACCAATCAGCACAAGATGGGTGTTGTGGTCAGCATCATGCCAGCCGCCTTTACTTCCTGAGACTGCACCCGATACCGACTCAAGGCTGGGTCAACCTGGGAGTCAAGGTCATTTTTTTTTTTTTAATCTGGCTCCACCAGGGAGTTAACTTACGCTCTTCGATCCGCACAGGGGCATCTAGCCGCTACACCACGTCGACCCCTGCCTAAGAAGAACATTTGGCATTAAGTGGCAGGTTAAGTTAACAAACGCTAATGTGTTGGAAAGAACAGGTATCATAGCATTTTTTTTTTTTCAGTGCTCTGTCTTTAAAGGCTCAGGTGGCTTGGTCACACTTGGAGAGTGAAGGAAGGACATCCCTTGTAGTGAATTACAGATGGGTAGATGATGTTGAACTCAGCTTCTACTACAATGTGAAGATGTGAACAAGCAAGACATGAATGATACTGGTATTGAGATAATGGGAACATAATGCCACAGACCGTGTGAAGGGGAAAATCATGGTTGGAATCTGAAAACAGGGAAAAAAATGATTGCAGATAGGTTGAGAGCTGAACGTCTGAGAAGAAACACATAAAATACATATTTTTAAAAGGGTAAGAAATTATTGGAAAGAGAAGAAAAGGGGTAAGAAATAACACATAGTTTATGTCATCTTTACAAAATCGATCACAATAACAAACAAAGGATGTTGAGGCGATTAGCCTTCATCAGCACACAAAGAACAACACAGCACACATGCACAAATGGGCACTAACTCTGAAGTGACTACATAGGACTACAATGTACTAAAAAATGACACTCATCTGTGTCATTGGTGAAAAAATTTGTTTAAGAGGATGAACAGGACAGGTACTAACCTATCTATTGCCACCGTGTGGACAGGAAGCCCAAAACTGGGACACTAAATACATGTCAACCAGAGTCCTGAAATCTCTTACTGTAATTGTGAAAGATTATTCCTTGCGGGGAGGGGGGGGGGATGGCTAGTTACACTCACCATTGCCAAGGGTCAAGCCTCCCCATAGCACATTAAAACACTATCGTCTGGAAGGAGAGACAAGTAACAGCAACAACAGCAGCAGCACCAACAACAACAACATCAAAACTAATCAAAATAATAACTATATTAACCTTTTTCCCTCCCCACAGAAAAATGCCAGTGACAGTTCAAATTTTGACTCAGACTTCACAAAAGAAAAACCGCAGTTGACACCACCTGACCCGACGCTTATGAAAACTATGAACCAAAATGTTTTCAAGCATTTCTCCTTCACATGCCAGGAGGCACTGCTGTCGTGATGAAGTGCAGCTATAATTGTCACAGAACACCTTGTTTTCAATTCTTTTTTTTCTTTTCCAATTACATTTTACTTGGAAATGTATTTTAATTTAAAACCTGTAAGTTTTTATCGGTATTACTTTTAAGATGGTTTTGTTTTTAAAGAAAAAATTGCTTTTAGAAGTATTGATTGGTTTATTATTATTTTTTAGATGTTTTTTTTTTTAAGAAAAAAAACAATTTGTATTAATAAGTTTATTCAACATACGACAGTTTTTTTTAATGTTTTAATTACATTACCTAATAATCATCGTGTCTACATTTTCTTTTTTGTTAATGCATCAATGATTATAAAGTAATGCATGTTTTTATTTCTGCACATTTTTAATGAAACAATAAATTGATTATAATAAACTCAGTGTGGATAGATTTTGAGCATTTTATCAGCTGAAATTAACTTTTAAACTGTGTAAATTAAAGTAAAGTAATAGATTTGTTTCACGTCAGGTGCACATCGGGCAAACAGTGAGCTTGGTACTTGTATTTTTCCACCGAATACATTAAAAATAAGAATTGTCAAATGTTATGTATTCTCAACCTTACTGTATGGCACAGAGACAGGGACAATGAACAAACAACTGGAAAATCGTATCAATTCTTTGGAGATGCGGATATACAGAAGATTAGGTCGTATTTCATGGAAACAAAAGCTATCAAATACAGAGGTACTGAGAAAATTGGGAATGAAAAGAGAGTTGCTAGGTGAAATAAAAAAGAGACAAGTGAAATATTTTGGTCACATTAAAAGACATAACAGTATTGTAAAGATCATCCTAGAGGGAAAGGTTCAAGGTAGGCGAGCAAGAGGCAGACAGCGTTACAAGTGGGAGGATAACATCAAGAGATGGACGAACAACAGTATGAGCGAGTGTACATCAAGGGCAAGAGACAAGGCTTGTTGGAGATCCATTGCAGCCAACCTTCATTGTAAAGACGGCCCCTGATTGATTGATTGATTTTTCCACTGAGAGTTGAGCATTGATTAGATCCCCTGATCATTTTCTGCGGTACCGTTCTTTTCAAACTATGATGATCTGTTTGTGTCTCTGCACTGTTCACTTGCTCCCAAAAAGCGCTGACCATATCTTGCCTGCCATGGATCAGTTCACCACTTTGTGGTGCAGAACCAGCCAATCTGCCTGCTGTTCATTTCCCAATACACCTGCCTGCCCTGGAGAAAATATCCAAAGGACACTAATTACACAGGATCTCTAAAGTGATGCTTTCTGCTCTGCACAGAACATGACTGTCAGTACCTTTTTCAGTATGCTTTGCGAGTTGGTTACAGTCACAGTATGTGTATGCTGACTGCTCTCAAGCCAGTGAAAAGCTGCTGTGACTGCCTCCACCCCCATTCTCAAACTAGATTTTGTAGTAGTATATACTTTGTTGTGCTAAGCTTCAGCCATTTGCTTTCACAGTGAAGCCTTATGCTTCTCCTGCATCTTAGCATGGATCCATTTGTATAGATAATCACATCAGCTGGCTAGGATTTATCATGAATTAATTGTTGAATTTCTGATTATGATTTGCCTGCTGGCCAATCCCTGCACTCCTGACCAAGTGTGATTAGAACCCTACACAAGTCTGTTTTTTGCTGGGTTCTTTTGGCCCAGTCCTCTCCTCCCCCACTGTGTTATTTGGGTGGTCTTAACAAGGGATACGTGAAACAGTATTAGTACCACTTAGGCTACATTTAATAAAAGATGACTAAGAAGGGGACCGAGTAGAATGGCTAATCTACTGTGTAAAAAAAAAAAAAAAAACAGCTACGAAACTGTTTATTCTTCTTCTTCTTCTTCTTCTTCTTCTTCACATTCAGCAACTGTTTAGTACAACAGAAAGTCTTGGTTGTTCATCTACTTCTGAATTTTGGTCTTGTTCAAGAACTTGATTTTGTGTGCACATTCATTTTACAAATATGGCCTATTTGGGTGCAGACTGTTGACTCCTTGCCTCATTATGCTGACCAGGCCTTCAGCCAGGAACCTGTTTCTAGGATGACGGAAGAGAGATGTGAATAGATCTCGACCAGTACGAGTCCTGGTCCCGATTTATCCTCATGTGTGATTCAGCACCTCTGCGTCCTGCGAGTTTAGAGTCTTATGTTTGTAAACTGAAGAATCCTTTTCAAACCTTCAGGCATATTGGGCACATAGTGCTAAACCCATATTTTATAGACCAATCGGTACTTGGCTGTTGATGGAGTCAGCATCATGCCACTCACCGTTACTTCCTAGGACCTTGACCTGGCACCCTTTCAAGGTTGTGTCAACCTGGGAGCCAAGATTATTTCTGGCTCCGTCAGGATCCAAATCAGTGACCTTCTTCTCCGCAGGCAAATGTCTAGCCGCTACACTAGGGTGGCTCACTCTATTTTTATGAAAGAAGAAACATAGAAGGAGATATGATGATGGCAGAAATTTCTTTGTATACATCACTAACAGGTTCTGTGGATAAAATGTCATCCTTTAATTACTCACTTGCATTTTTATTTCTCATATTAACTTTTAAACACCACAGGACATGTTCTGTTTTTGTATTTTTAACTGTTTTTATTGTTATTACTGTGTTCTTTCAATGCATTTGTGAATAATATTCTTATTTCTGTAAATAAATATCTACACTGTCCTTATGGTGAAATACTCCCTGATTTGATTTGTTTTTGTATCACAACCATCTCAGAGATTAACACAGGTCATGCATTATGCAAGCACCAAAGGAATGCAAAGAATATAACAGTAAACCTCGTTAACACAAATTCAGCAACTAGAAAACAATCAAAAGTTCAGGTTAAAATTATTTATGCTAACCGGTTAACTGAGTGTTCTATTTAAGAGAGTTTGAATTCAATGAAGTTTAATAAGATGTCTGAGAAGGACTACATGAGTGTTAGAAGAGATAAAATCAGGAATGTAGCAGGACATTCACTTGCTCTGGCAATCTAAAAAGTTGCTGAAGGCTGTGGACATAGTCTTAAGACATGTGGATGTAGAAAGCAAAGGGGAAACTACCACATTATCATCCCTAGAAACTGATTACGAAACAATGCTAGACATGTAAAAACAAAATTGTTGCCAAAGGGGCACTCAGTTGAATGCATGTCTGCAGGAATCAAAATGTTTTCTGTTCCTCTAAGTTTCTTTTTTTTTTTAAGCAAATTTGTGTTAAATGAGATTTTACTGTAATACCAGAGCTATGATGCATGTCGTAAGAGGTGACTAAGGACAACTGGTGTGAGACCGGATACCTTGTTTCATAAAAAAAGACCATGGCTGAGAAAGAAAAAAAAACATCCTTTCTTTTCCTTGATGTAAGTTTGTTGAGGACTCACTCCATCATCTTGTAACAGGTCTTTTGCAAAACATCACTCTCATCACTGCCTTTCACCAGATCTCCTGCACTCTCCTTTCTACCCTTTATGGTCCCTCCCCCTCTGAGCAATGACTCTCATTCAGCTCACACCAAACCCCAATTTATGCTTATAATTTGTTAAAGAAACTACTCACCAAACGTTTTATGGTCAGTATTTCTCTTTTCTTGTTGTCTCCTTCATAGACTTTTGTTTATTCACTCCTTGTATTTAAATTGGTAGTTTTTCGGTGACCGGGTCGCTCATTGCTTCGCCGGTTGACGATCTCCTCACTGGTGGACAGTATATGGGCCTGTCTCCTTTGATGGCATCAACCCAGCAGGAGTCCTTTTCTGGGCTCTTGTTGGCGTGCAATGCTAAGCCAGTTAATATGGTGTACATAACCTAGTCACAATTGTGACCTAAAGCTCCCCCTTCAGGAACACTGGTTGAACTTGACGATTTTGTTTCCCCAAAACCACAAGGAGGTGGAATAGTTAGTTCAAATATGCTTGTTTCCTAGGACTTCTGGTCAATATAGCGGATAGGCTGCTTATAATGTTTTTAGTGGTACCATGTTTTTGCTATTGACAATAGTTAGCTCGTTGCATTTTCCTCTATGTGTAAACTGAAAAGATACAGTTACAGACATGATTCATTCAGCTAAAGATGCGGATTTGTGGGAGTATGATGTCATGGACAGTGTTGCAGGGAGCGGGAAATCAGGAAGGGAGTAGGTATACATGACAAAATATCTGCATGTAGGTTGAGAGTTATGCGTCTGAGAAGAAGCACACTAGGTGCATACTATGGTTTGTGCTGCAGTTTCAGAAAATTGTGAGTGGCCTATTGTCAGAAAGCTGGTGGTGCCTTATGTAATTACTTGCTTGTGCACAACTACTGCTCTGTTGCTCCTGTCGACGATCAACCGCATTTCTAATGCCAGACCGTACTGTATGTATTGGCTTTTCTGATGAATGACTTGTGATAGACATTATGTGTTGTTCTTAGCACAGGAACGAAGTAACTGTGGGGTGACCCGTTTGCTATGAAGGTGGAAGTGCATTTCATTAACTGCCCCCCTAGTGTATCTGCTGGACTCATTCAAATGTGAGTGTGAATCATGGACAATTAGTGAACATTTATTTGAAAGCTGTGGAGATTTGGTTTTATAAACGAATAATGAGAATACCCTGAACAGATAACAAGAGTAATGAAGATGTCTTGAAAGAAACTGACTCATGAAGAAAACTGATTGTCCACATCCGAAAGAGACAATTTACATTCTTTGGTCATGTGATAATAAGTAGAAAACTGGAGTACCTCGTGACAGTAGGAAAGTTGGAGGGTGTGGGGTGGGAGGCAGCGAAGATGAAAGAAAGGATGCTTGACAGTTTGACATCATGGCATGGAGGATCATCAGTGTCAAAGCTGGCTGAAAGTACACGAGACAGAATGTTGTGGATAATCATGACTACCAACGCCACACGGCATGGACTTGAAGAATAAAAAGAGCAACGCTTTAGGATTTTTTTTAAAAAAGTAAAGATCCCTTTACACGCCCATAGGCGCATCGGGCATATGGGAAGAGCACCCATATTTTTACAG